CAAATAGTGCAGGYGCAAGTTGCTTTCATTTGAAACCAGATTTCAAATGGTCAGTCACAGATCTAATAACTAACTTACAGGGAGAAAGACGGCTATTATAAAGCAGTTAATATAGTAGATGTTAGCCATGCTTGGAGAAAGATGCATTGTAAACTTTGTCATGTTATGCAGGAAATAAAAAAATTGCTATTTTTCTGTTGCTAGAGGAATAGGTTTAGTCTTATTTTATGGGTTCTGTTCTCTTTGGAATTGAAAGATTTAGGGTTTCTTCACACTACTCTTCCAGCCAAAAAAAGCATTTGGGGGCTTTTTTTTTTCCTTTCACGATGACCTGTAGCCTCATTTTATTTCATACATACATCACAAGTATCACTGCTTCAGAGCAAGCAATTTGCTTTATGGTTCTGGTGGCAAGTCTGATGCTGTTACTAGGAATAATCCAGAGCAATCTATGGTTGCTGTCAGTCAGAGGCRGCATCAGCTTTCATTTAAGCCAGCAGCCTCCACAATGTAGAACCAGATCCTGGGACAAACTTARAAAAATGACACTAAAAGATCAAAATACTATGGAGATAGACTAAGGTGTAGAAGCAAAAAAATCTCAGATAGTCACAGTAAGTATTGTGCACTTATGACTTGTAGTCACTTATAAGTATTTATGCAATAAATGTTTCAAGTTTTGCTCACATAGAATTTAGGAAACTGCAACTCAGGTGCTAGGCACAGGTTTGTGACTATCTTGAGACTCAGAAATGCAAGCTGTCCTAAGAAGTGAGTTTTTAAGTGAGTGCTACCATTCAGGAAAATACAAAATCCATGTATTTTTGTATAAAAGAATTATCTCACATGCTATAGCTACAAGAAAAACATAAAAATATATTTGATACTGCAATCAAAGCACATTATGTGATTTTGACAGATCATTCTAATCTGAGTTTCTCAATCTGTATCGAAGAAAATAAATACGGTACATGTGAAATGGTATGGTACCATTACCATTATATGGTAACAAATATGTTACATGTCAAAATCAGGCTCCTTGATGTGAAGGTCATAGTCTTTAGCCTGTATTTTCAAGGTCTTGAAATTCAAGCCTTCCATCTAAGACTAAATKATGGATCCTCTCCCTATAACTATTACTATTAAAAACCCCAAAAGCAGTTTTCTCACGGACTTCAGTAAGAAAAGAACAACTCCTTTTGTGATTTCAACTAAACTTTTTACAACAAGAAATTCTGCTACCTGAAATAATGTCATTTCTATTCTGTGTTGAAGCTCATTTGTCTAAGAAATGTTACCAGTCTCTACACCGAATTACTTTGCTTCAAACACTAGTTTATGCAAATATTCTGAGGGCAGGAACCCATCTTCAAATTTGCTATATATAATAACATACAAAACTTTCTTTTTTATATATATATATATATGTGTGTGTGTGTGTGTGTGTGTGTGTGTGTGTGTATATATATACACACACCTCTTTAGTCCTTTTCAGAGCTATTAAATGAAGGGTGGGAAGACGAACAAAGTGAAGCAGATGACAGCGTTTGTGACCAGCTCACTAAATACCGGGATATTAAGAATGTCTCTCCATGCTGCTTATGAACTCATTAACTCTGTAAGTCCATCTGATGATTCCTATAAGCAGAGATAGATTCGCATTTTATGCCAGAGTCCATTTATTTGAGAACTCTTGAAYAAAACAAAGGCATAATTGTAAGGCTAGAGGGTAACCAGGTGACTCATCTTTGCTACTTGCTATTTTTTCCTCTATTTTCCTTGCTAATGCATTAATTTGCATCTCAGCTACCAAGCACATGCCCAGTATAGGGAGAAAATAAATCATCCTTTTCTAATTAATCAGTAACCCTACAAATCTTCAGAGGCTTGTATTGCATTAGTAGTTTAGAAGAGTTAATCAGTAATCAGGACAAAAATAGAGGAGYTCAGGCCCATGCAAAGCTAGAAGTACATCAGCTAGCAACGCTTTTTGTATGGCCTGATACTTCAGAAACATTTGATGAGAGGCTGAGATGCTTGTGAAATTTTAATGAAGAAAGTTATTATGCTAGAACTCAGCACTGTATCCATACTGGACTCTACTCATACTGCGGTGAATCTGGGCTCTCTTAGGAAATCCTCTTATGGGAATTTGTTTTGCAGAAATCTTAAGTTGCTGAAGTTAGCAATGACAAGTTCTGACTGCACAAGTCTATGATAAGCATTTCCCCTGTGAAGTGTGAATGATCTTGCATCCTTGTTTCCACATGCTGACAGTCCATTATCTAAATAATTACTGCCCTTGCTGAATCACACTAAATGAGAACTGATAGCACCTGTAGGACAATCAGTTAACAGGAATCCAACTGTGTCAGCAGCATCACTGCATCTCCTTTATCCTTCATATGACTAATTATTATCATCTATCATTCTCTTCTCCAGGAATATATTAGGTAAGGATCAATGCAGTTCAGCCCCGTTCCTCACTCTTTGAAACACTCCCAAACAGTCATCTCGACAGAGCACTTAAGCTTTCAATTTCCTGCAGCCACAGTGATATTGCTCTTTCCCCTCTCTTAAGGCTTACAAATACAAAKTCAGTATTCTCCGTGAACAAAAAGAAGAAATACTAAAGATCTTTCAAAATCTAAAAAAGGGAAAAAATCAAAAGATGATTCCTATTTTGTAACTACTCTTAAAAAATTCTCAGAAATCTCCTTCCAAGAAGGATTCTTTCTAAAAGACTTTTAATCTTCTTCCTTCTTTTTATCATCTAAATAAGATTGTATCTAACACCAGAGTTTAAAGTGCTTCTGCCCCAGATAATCCTCTATTCAGCAGGCTGTTCACAATGAACTTGAAATTCGGAACACATAATTAAAAGTCTTATGAAAACCAAATCTTACAGACATTCTAAATGTGTCTTAACTTTCGCTTACACATTAGAAAATAAGATTGCAACTCTTTCTTTTCTCTCACTGTTGGAGTTATCTTCAGGAAAATGAAAATTCATTTTCTCTATAATAGCAAATTAACTTTTCTAAATTAGCAGTTTTGAGAATTTTAGCAGTGTGGCTTTAGTTGCAGCACTYATTTCTGATAACATTTCTTCTATACAGGAGGATCAAACACAGAGGAACTTGTCTGAATTGCATCTTGTCTTCATGGGGGGTACTGCCAGCCAGGTGCCACTGCAGCTCTCCATCTGTAGTTTTGCCATCTGCAGTACCAATAGCCCAAGAAAGGTCTGAACACAGGATCTGGCACATGGTGAAAAGATATTAACTTGAGGGGGTTTTTCCTGCCTTTCAAGCTTTGTTGTTAYGTGTTGCTCATCTGTGTGCCATTGRCCTTCCCTAAAATTGACAGATTGTCACCAGCAAGCCCTTTCCCTTATTTTCACATTATGCAGCTATTGTCAGTTCCATGACACGTTTTCCTATCATTTCAGGATTTCCTCTCACCTTTAGGCGAAAGGCCACACCATGTCCACGTTTTTCCACCCGACAGAATGTTTGCTTTACGCATATCACTTCCAAAAGTCAAGTTCACTTCATATGAAACTCATCGCTTCCTCTTCACGAGCCCCTTCCACGAGCAAATTACCTCTCAACTTGCCAGCCCCGCTCATCACGTGTTGGGGGGTGATCCCGTTGACTCAATGTCATTACTGACGTCACCTGGCAGGACAACAGGCGATGTCACACTAAGGCAGGCGTCACCGTTGTCCTGCTGGGAGGACTCATCCATCAGCACAACATAACCTTCCACCCCATTTCCAAACACCTCTGATGGGGTCACACGGCAGTGGCAAAGTTAGCATTTCCCTCTGCCACCAAGCACTTACTGGTGCTCTACTGCTTCCCTATCCAACTTGGCCAAGAGAAACCATCACCCTTCCACAGATTTTTGAATTAGGCATTTTTTCTTTTTTCTTTTTTTTTTTTTTTTTTTAATCAGGTGAAGCTAAGGAACCTAGGTGTTTGCATACCAAAGTGGTTGTTCAGCTTATAAACCACCTACCTAGAGACTGGGCGGGGAGAGGAGATGGGATGTTGGGGTCATCAAACCCAGTTCTTTACAACAGCGGACGCAATATGCAACTCCAGAAAGAGAGACWGGGAAAACTACCCAGACATTTAGTAAACTTTGGACTTTGTCTCAGGGAAGAGCCCCACAGAAATCATCATGTGCAACAGCAAGAATGAGCAAAATGCTTATCAATAGTCTACTGCTATAGGTTACCACAAAACACTTGGCAAAATCCATCTACCYGTGGATAGAGGTACCCGTGAGAGAAAAAATGGAATAACCTCTTAGGTATCATGTTGAAAGGCAGCAGGGAAAAGAAACAAGAAGAAATTGCAATTACCGTTTCTCTGAGATCATTACAAGAGCAATTTTATAAATGACTTAGAAAAGGCAAATAAGGTGTTTTATTGCAGCACTGCATTATATAAAAATGAAAAAGGAACTTAATAAAAATAACAAAAGGCCTGCTCTTAGTGCTTGATCTGTATTGCAATCATTGAGGCAGCTAGAAGAACCTAATGAGCTCATTGCTTCATGACCGATAATAAAAATTTTGCTGTTGCTTTTGGCAATTAGTCTCATTAAATGCTAAACAGATAGATCTAAGGCATCTTTTAAGTTCCAGTAGTTTCTGTTCTACTGACTGCTGAATGTCTTAGTGTTCCTTATCTTGATAACTGAGGGCTTTTTATGTAGCTAATGACAACCACAGGAGCCAGAAAGATTTGAGGTTGTAACTCTACATCCTGCACTACAGTGCATCTAATCTACAGTGCACCTGCATCTAATATAGCGACAAAAATAAATACAGATCCATACAAAGATCTGTACATGATACTCAAGTATGTATCAGAAAATAATAAATCAGATCTGCATTCAAATGAAAAACATGTAGAAACAATTCTGAGAATTTTTTAAAAGTTTAATTTTTTCTTCATTTTAAAGACATTGCTAGTAATAATCACAAACTTTAAATCTATATCTGTATAGAGTAAATAAATATAAAATGCTCATGAACTGCAACAAAGATGGCATTCAGGCCCTTTCTGCATGCAAAAAAGCAGCAGGCAAGACAGTGACAGGCACTTGACTTCTCAGCTCTGTTTGGAAGCTCACKAACACAGTCTCAAGTTTTTCCTTCAGAAAACTGCCATAGCTGGTTTAGCTTTTCCCTTTTTATGACAGGACCCTTTATATGTACACTACATGTTTTCCACATAGCTTTCCAAGTGGCTATATAACAGTCACATAATATTGAATTTTGAACAATTCCACAAAGAGACTTTATTCCAGAGACAAAGAAGTTGTCATATATATCCAAAAAACTTGAAGATTCCAAAATGCTTGAAGATTCAAGTTCTGAATCTTTACACAAGAATGCCTGCTTTAATATGGGCATATATATTTATTAATGCCCCTCCTCTTCCCCTCTTTCCAAAACAAGCATCAATGGACAAAGTGGCAACTTGTATCGGCAAGGACTGTATAGGTCAAACCAGGCTTTCTGAACAGAAATTCAAGGCAAATATCAGCTTACTATATTTTAATTTATTCTCTTTCTGGAGCAGAAACATTTAGACATCTGTCCTTYCAAAATTCATGCTTTTAAATCTTTCTTCAAGCACATCAGAATCTTCATCATTGTCTGTACTACTGGAGTTTGCTTCAAAATCCACTTCATCCTCCAATTCACTTCTCTCTTGGCCATTTTCAACAGCCTTACTCTCAGTTCTCTCTTGTTCTTCATGAATCCTACAAAAAGCAAATTGAAGGTATCATCAGGCTACTTTTGGAGTTCATTTATCTTTTAAACAAGGAAGGAATGAGAAGAAGAATGTAACATGGGACAGGAGTGACAACTTAAAGTTCCTTTCATGTTATATTGAAGAGACAGTAAGAAAAAAAATTTTGAAGGAAAAAGATATATATGTGAATAGATTGACCAAATAAACAACCGCTGGCAGGCTGACAGACACTAGTAAATGAATTAAGGATGCTCAATAAAGACAGAACCCTAGTAAAAGGGTAATAAAAACAAAAACTCACTAAATATATTGTAGCTTCTTTGCTCAATATCAGCCCTTGTTTAGTTTACTTCTGCTCACTAGTAACTAAATCATAAAATGACAGACTAAATGCAAACAGTAAATTGGCTTATGCATATTTTATGGTGCTCTATCCATTTTAAAGTGCTTTGTTCCTAAGGAGTAGACGCAATTTRCCCTTTAATATTACAATAAAGTGTCTTATCCAAGTAAGAATTATTTAGAATAGCCACACTGACACCAATAGGCTTTCCACTCTGGCTTCAGTAGAAGAAACTGAAACTAATGACTCAATGATTCCTGTCATGATTATTCAGAATATGGCATGAGGTACATCAGCTCCTAGGCAGTTTCCAAACACACTTTATTAACACAGGAAAAAAAAAGTACAGTACTGAAGGTGCATAATCCAGGAACTTACGGAATTACAATGTCTTCTTCTTTTCCACATTTAGCACAAATTCCTAGCTTACAAGCACAGGGTCGGCAAATAATATGGTAAGGATCTTTTACAGCTTTCTGGAGGCATTTGACACTGTGAGGAGAAAGAAGAGAGCATAAAATGACTATTTATAGGCACTTATTAAGCATTCTATGTTCAAAGACAGTACAGAGAAACTACTGTATTCTTCTGAAGATGCACTGTTACAGCCAAGTTTCGTATGAATCAATTATTCTTTGATGCTTGCTAAAACATGAAGAGCATTGCCTGTTTTCTATCTCTTTTAACTTTTTCAGAAATAATTTTTAAATTTAGAACTGAAAAAGAAACAGATAAAGTATTTTTATATTCACAGTAGCAAAACACTAACCCTTCCTTTTGGTTCAAAAGCTAATTTTGTTTTAAAAGCTGCGTAACTTTTTACTCTGTCTTAAYTATAAAAGAAAATCAACATACACTAAAATGCACTTCACCAATAAAAGCTTTACATCCAAAAAATACGTCTTCCTCTTGAACTTCTCAGAAAATGAACAAAGCCAGTGCTGGCTCTCTAGGACAAGAAGAGTCTAGGAAGAGTCTCTGTATCTCTGGGGATATCAGTAAGAGCATGGCCAGTGGGGCAATGGGTCAAGGGAGGTGGTTCTGCTCCCTCCTCAGCCCTGGTGAGGCCACAACTGCAGTGGCAGCCCAGGACAAGAGATGCATGCAGCAACTCCAGCCAATACCTATTAAATGGGGAAAGGACGACAGCATATCTCAAACAGGACAGAGAGTTCAGTGTGAAAAAGATTGTAGGGGATTGTGGGGGCATTTGCACTAGACAATTTCTAGAGGTCCCTTCCAACTTCAACTGTTCTGTGATTCCATAAGCGACAAAATCAAATTTTGATTTACCTAAGATTTGTAGTCTTATTTCTCTTAAATTAAAAAAAACATTAAAAAAAAATTAACTATTAAAGGGGAAAAGTCTTATCTATTTTGCATTGATAATGCCAGTGTTTGGTAATATACTCCTGGGTCTTTGCAACTGAATGGGAGGGAGAATACTAAATGAATGTTTTCAATGAGGTGACACTGTAGTTTTTTAATGTTCATATATAGGAAATACTAGTGAATTCGATCTTGGGGTATTTGTACTAAAACTCGTTAATTCACCCACTGAAATTCTTAACCACTTTGTCCTTGCCTTCAACCACTATACTGCTATAGACAAGGCTAAAATCCACTGCCTATAGATTTAGAATGGCACACAATCTAAGTCATCTGTTCACAGATTTGAGAGAAAATCTATTTTGTCATAGGTAGCTGTTTTTCCACAACGTCCCTTTTCCTGTTTCTTATGCTTCTGTGAAGCCTTCGTTGCTTTTTTAGATTTTCAGGTGCGCAGAGATGAGGCAAAAGAATCAAATCCACAAGAATATCAATMAAATTAGCCTAATATATGCCTATGAATTATTTCAAAGCATTCATTGCTATGTACTCACTATCTCCTCCCCAAAAACACCTACTTCATCTCTATATATAAACAATGATGACCATTTAATATTTAGAATTGTAGTTTCCTGTAAGAAGGAAGAGAACATGCTAGAAGATATTGAAATACAAGTATTGCAAATATATTATAGAAGTAGAGATTCTTTTAATGCTGAAAAGAATGCTACTGATGACTTCTGACAGGACTCTCAATCAAGAAATCTTTCCTTGACTCATTTTTCTGCCAAATAGTTTTTATCAACTGTGAAAAATCACATATGTTTTCCTGTAACAATGACATGCCATAAAGTCATAGAAAACTTGGTTATATTTGGTTTAAATTTCTGTTTTTGTTCAGGAYGCACTGACATGCTCACAGGTTGACAGTAAACATTAAAATGTTCAGGCATTTTAACAGAAAGCAGAGGGAATCAACTGCTTTTCTACTGTGATTCCTTTCAAAATTTTAAGATGGAAAGATTAATGAATTAGAAAATAAACATTTCATTTTAATGAAATTTTAACTTTTAATGAAATTTTATTCATTTTAAAAAAAACATTTYATCACTTCAGACTACAAATTTGAAGAATGTCATATAATAACAACTAATATTTTGCAGTTTTCCAAACCAGAATATTCTCCAAAAAGTTCAGAAACTATATTGTCAGTGATTAACGCAAAGTATCTAAACTCACCATTTCTTGGGTTGGGATAGTAGTTTATACTTGCTGAATTTTACCCGCCACTCCAAGATACCTTTACAATGTTGACACACTCCATCATGAAGCTTGGCATTTATTTTCTTAAAAGAAAGATAGAAAAAGTGAAGAAAAATGTTTCTGCAATTTATATAGTATTTAGAAAGATGCTGATTGATATTAAAGTAATTATTTCATATATATTTGTGAGTTGTAAAGTTAATCATCAGGAAAAGCAGCACGGTAGCCTTTTTGAACTATCAATAATAATTAAGTGTGCTTTCTTAAAAATGGCAAGGATTTTTTTTTAATTGTGGGGTCACTTCCACCCCTAGAGATTTTACAAAACAGATGTCTTCAGTGGAAATGGGTTCCAAAATACACCTGTTTCGTTCAAAGATAATAGCTTACAGGACTTAACATTAAACTTGTTATAGCACAAGCTTTTGTTATACTACATAGAGCAAATCGCCTCAGAATTTTTCTCAGCACACAATAAAACAGAATTGACACATTATTTGCTGTCCAACCATTCAACATTTTTTTCATCATAAACTTTCCTTACTACAAAGTAATAGATTTATTATGTATTATGCTCTCCAGTGCATAAGAAAAAAAATAATGAAACAGTAATTTAAAGCACAGTATATCTTTGAAATAATTGGAGATTGAAGACAATTTAAAATTCACTGTAGGATCTTTTGCAGTGTTTTGTGTTTAGTCTCCTTGAGACTACATAAGGTCAACTGGTCTCAACTATTTGCACARGAAAATTATTTTGAGAACCGGAAACCATACAGTTGTCTTAAAGAACATGCAATATATACCAATTCAATCTATTTGTTTTTCCTTCTTTCTCCAAAAATGCCAACAGCAATTTAAACAACAGGAACTTTTAAGAGCAACGGTCCCCTGAGAATTTCTTTTKTGTCTACTTCAATAGAATCCAAAAAATATCCATTGTAACAAAATCACATGTCATAGTATAAAAACACATACAATGCTTAGAACACGTAGGGATTCTTTGGAACAGATTCTGCATAATCTTAAGATTTAGATTATTCTCTTACAGACACATCAGAAAGTTGATTGATACGCACAGTAACTTCCTAAGTAAKCACTTTTAGGTCTTGAAGCAAGATCTTCTTACTACTCCACAAAATGCTACCTCAGTACAGTAGAGAACAAGCCTATCTTTAAAAATATACTATTTCCAAAATAGTATGTGAGAGAGGAAACACTGTTTAGAAATGAGATCATGCTATAGAGCTTGCTTTCATTTTTTTTCTGTCTTTGCTAAACTTAAACAATGCAGTATGAATTTTCCTATGATTTATTTACCTGAAGCAGTAGTGTTTTGTGACTATTACAGTTAAAAGAATTGTTTTTCTTTTAAGTGACTGACAGAGCTAACATGTTAAAAGAAAAAAATCATATTTGGCAAAAGACTTAAAGAGACAGGATAGCTACAAACATCCAGATCACTTAGAATCTTTCTGAGGGAAGAAAGTCATTGGCACGTTCTCGCATGTATTTGTTGAAGGTTGGCAGTTTAAACTTCTGTCAGCACTGACCATGCTTTATTCTTTCAGAATTCTCACAATTTGAAAATAAGCCTTCTTTTCAGTGCTTAAACAGCTCCAAGTGGTATAGCCTGAATAAACATCTAATAACCTGCAAATTAGCCCAAACTCCCCCAGTTCTCCCTTCGCTCTACTGATTTGCATTAATTAGTAATGCAGGAGAGGAGCAAAACAGAAACACTGTRATTTGTGTTCTCAGAAGCACTTTACTGTATTTTTAGTATTGTTAAGGAGAAGCTCAATAAACTTCAAAAGACTGCGATAGTTTGAGATGAGCACAGCTAGTTGCTGCTAAGCGGTTGCCTTTCTAAAAGAGAGTGGCTTCTTGCTGATAACTAAGTAGCTTCCAATAGCACATGGTGGTACCGCAAGAGGAGACAGAAGCGCTGTAACTACGTGATGACACTGATGGGCTCAACATGCCACATGCTTGGGATGCAAGAGACCATGTTCAAATGAACTGCATATGTATGTCACAAGCAATACAGAAGAATCAATTTCTTTCAGAAGGTAAGAGTAATTCCCATTTAAAGACTGTCAAACAGGTGGCTGATTAAAAACTCTTCTTAAAAAGATCTGTACTAAAAGTTAGTCATGAAGCAAGGAAATGAGAATAATCCTTATCAGAAGATCTTTCTAATGCCTTTTCCCCCCAGTGCTTATGAAGTGGCAATTTGAACAGAAAGAGCAATGGATATTTTCATCACAACAAAATTAAAACGCAGGCCATTTCAAATTCTAAGAGGTCTTTTTGACTCCTAGCATAGATCTTCTCTTTACAACGCAATACCATCATTCACTTTCCTGGAAAGACAAGAGGCTACTAGGTGGTGTCAAGGCCATGTTAGTTGGGCTTTTCTACTTTTTTATATAGAGTGTATGTTTAACAACAAAGCCTCAAGCTCTCATGCAATGTCCTCACCTCAGAGATCTGTGTTCCTTCTATATACTTTAGGCCACTGCTTAATCACAAAAAAAAAAGACTTTAAGATGAATAACATATAAAAACTAAAGAAGAAAGTAACRCAAAGTTAATGTAATTTAATTTCAAAAACAGTTCCACAGCCTAGTTGAAGTCAATCTCAATCAAAGCTTGCCTATGTATTCAGATTATTTAGACACAGTTCTTTTAAGTTTATACAGACACATTGCCATTTTCTTGGTATGACCACAGCTAATTCAAACATCCAGTAAAGAGCTGAAGAGTAAGAATGCCAACTACAAAAAAGCTAACTGCTAATACACTGAAATCACAAAGAGAAATGAATTCAGTGTTAATAAGTCAGACTTTTACTCATCACTTCGAGTCCTAAGAAACAGTATCATATTTTGAAGAGCTACATACCACTTTTATATGAAGCTAATCAAGTTAATGGCTTTTGTATCAAGTTATATAAAGTTAATGGCTGGACTAAGTCATTAACTCCAGTTAATGAATGAACTCCAGCAATGAAAATGAAAATTCCCTACAGAAATGTAGAAAAATTCAACCTAAGTAGAAGACAATGCTGTAAGAGTGAAGTTACCTTGTACTCAGATGCATTTTTTGAATAATAGTGGAAGTGATGAGTAAATTTATWAAGATTGGAGAGCTAAGAGGACTACTTCATTTCATGTACAAAGACAGAAGAGCTTGCTAGGCATTAGAGTAATGCTGTCACAGGAAATATGCAACAATGCTCCTACTTCTTGGTTCTCCACCAAAGTCACAGGTGATGCCCTTGTGCATAGCACTTACACAAAAAAGGAATTTAATGACTGGAAGAGTTAGACTGGGAATAAAGAGAGAAAAACAAAACTCAAAATTCAGTCAGAATAATTCCTAAGATCAGTAACAAAAAGAGCAGTTTCTAACCTCCCCTATCCATTATCTTGTGAGTTCTAGTGAAAAAAAAAAGATAAAAGGATGTCATTTCAAAAGCAATATTATGCCTATGGTGCTCTTTCATGATTAAGATACATAGCAGAATAGCAGATAAARAGAAGAGACACCTTTATTAAGCTTTAAAATAATAACTATAGAAATAATCCTCAAAAATGTAGACCCACRGAATCACAGGGTGAAGACTGCAAAGCAGTAAAAGCAAGCTCCTAAGCAGTAAATACAATGAYTGAGTATAAAACACTAGTAATTACAGTTACTTAAGTTATTCTTCAGGAAGAAAACATTTTGTTTGAAGGCAGTCTCAAACAGATTTAATAAACTGTCCTGGTAAATCCAAACATATATTTGGAATAGAAGCACATCATTCCTAAAAGAAAGGATGCTGTAATGTTATGGTACTACTAATACAGCATCAGGACAACAAATTAGGCTTTATCTATTATAACAATCACATTCACATATGACTAAGATCCTCATCCGGGAATAGAATTCTGGACTAGAACACAATCAACTGTAGGACAATATGCCCTACTTAGAAACACAAAGAAACCATACATGATACCTGCTCAGAAGATAACAATTTCAAGAAAAACTAGAACTTTTAAGTTCTATCTCTTCTTTACCCTCAGTGATTTTCTTTACTTTTTATGTGGTGGTGGCACTTTAAGAACACAGTGTAGTTAAGTGTTGGCTTAACACAAGAGAATATGAGAGAGAATTTGATTCTTACCAATTTTTTTGCAGGTTGTTGCTGTAGAAAAGTCAATAGGGAAAGATGGACTGATGTAGGGTGAGCAGGTAGGAATCATTAGCCAAGTCTAACCCTAATATGCACGACTTCTAAGTTTATTTTACTCAGAAAAACACACAATTGTTAAGTATTGCTATTACTGAAACAAACAGACTGGTTTGTAATTTCCTGTAATTTTTATAATAAGTTCAACATTTCTTTTTTTGGACAAAAAGTATCAAATCATTTTCAAAAACAGAGCAGGCTCAAAAAAAGCAAAGTTATTAAAGATTCGAATCAACTGATTTTTGAAAGTTTTAGAATTTATAATAGTCTATATAAGAATAAGCTCTTGTAATATGAAAGACAAGAAACTTTCTTGCTTTCTCAGTTCCCTCAGAAGAATAAAGTTATTTGTTAAAGCAAAGAAATTCCTCTAATACTTACTTTTTCTGGCAATATACGCCTTTTTTATTTGATATATTTTGTAAACTATCATATATTAGTCTCTTATTTTTTAAGAGATTTTTTTCTTTCAAGAAGTTTCTTTCCTTTTAACAGCTAAAAAAGGAGAAAAAAAAAGATAAACACAAACCTAAACAAAAGTTGTCTCTTTTTTCTTTTAATTAAAACTTTTTTTACCTTAGTAATTAGCTCTCATACATGAAGATGTTGTAAGATTTGTGGTCTGAAATGGATTTCTTGGCATACAAACTACCTTCACRGATTGGAATTGCTGTTTATCACAGAAGTTGCTTCATGGTTTTTACTCTTATTTCCCTGTTGCATTCAATAGCTCTCTTCCTCCACTGTTGTACTTCCAACGAGGACAACAGATCCAACGCTTACTTCATATAACTTTCTATATATTCTTCACAGAGATGGCAATATGCAATATACCATAAGACATATAAACACAGTTTTGAAGAATACAGTCATAAAATAATCCATGYGTACATTATATATACACTGCCATGTGCATGTACATGAAACACAAAGAAAATAGCATCCTYTCTATACCCACGTTAGCCAACAATAAGTCATTTAACAACCTGTCAGTAGCAGTTTAGAATGTATTAAAATAAACACACACACCTACACGTACTAACTTGGCACACAAAATAATCCCTARCTTAACTAGCATTAAAGCAATCAAAAGCAAGATGTAAAGATGGGGTTTCAAAGAAGCTTCAGTGTCTGTTTGGAAGTTTCTAGTTATTTGTGCACATATGTGTATTTTAATTACAGAATCACAGAATATTCAAGGTTCGAAGGGACCTCTAGAGATCATCTAGTCCAACCTTCCTGCTCAAGCAGGCACACCTACAGCATGTGGCACAGAGTGGTGTCCAGGCGGGTTTTCAAGACCTCCAGAGTAGGAGACTCTACAACCCCCCTGGGCAGCCTGTGCCAGGGCTCTGTCACCCTCACAGGAAAGAAGTTCCTCTGCACATGGAGACGGAACTTCCTGTGCTCCAGCTTATGGCCATTACCCCTCGTCCTGTCGCTGGCCACCAGTGAAAACAGCCTGTCCCCTTCCTCCCTGCATTCTCCCTTCCTGAACTTATACACATTAATCAAAACCCCTCTCAGCCTTCTCTTCTCCAGAGAAAACAGGCCCAGCTCACTCAGCCTCTCCTCGTATGAGAAATGTTCCATTCCCTTAATCATCTTGGTTAACTGTACTAAAAGCAGAACTCTAGCATAGAGGAATCATTGGCGGGCTGCTCTGATGCAAATAATCACAATACCAAAGTCATCCACAAACYTGTTTGGCAGACTACCATGGCACAATGTTACCATGGCTCAATACAAACTTTCTGAAAAATTGTGTTTCTCAAAAAAACAAAACTCCACTCATGAACACCAAGGTGTGATTACCAAGCAGAGATTACTAAGCAGAGCAGTACAACATGGCAGATGCCAAACCCCATAATACAAGATGGCAGTTTCATGTTGGAGGGGAAGGAGGGTGGGCTAGGTCTAATAAACAATTCACTAAGTCCACTAAAGAAGGTTCAAATATTGTGCCAGTGTTATTTTAAATTCTATTTTCTGTAGAGGTATTTTCTGTTAATTTTTCTACAGAGAAACTTATTTAACAATGTAACCCAAGTTTGGATATAGATAGCTGTAAATCTATTTCAGGCACTTTTGTTTTACTGTTTTGGCCCTTCACACATGTGAAACCAAGTTTCTAAGCCCAATTCCAAAAGCTCACCTTGGAGATCAAGACATTTAGCTTTGTCCAGACCAGTCAAGAACTCTACAGCAACTCCATTCTCTCACAGCAATCATGGATCTCAAAATATACATAAGTAACCAGCAAATGAATGTAGTGAACATCTGGAAGAAGGGCTGACAATCACCGCCTATCCTCTTTCCCCTAGAACAACTGAAAACAGATAGGCACTGCAGAGTTACATTACAGTCAAAATCCGACACTGTGTTTCCTCCAAACCTCCATAGAGGAAAGTCACAATTCATTTTAAACAGAGAGTAATGGGGATGGGTACAAAAGGGATTTTATCATACTGACCTCCCTTACTATGCAGCAAGACTGCAAGCTAACCAATAGCCCCAGCAAAGTTATCTAACAATGCCAAATGGCTACTAGTTTATCTATATCCTCCCTTCTAAAGCTTTAAGTCACACTCACTGACTCAGCATTTAAGTCCAACATTCACCTGTTCTGCTCCTACTGGATCTCCAGTGTCTTCACTAAAGCAAATTACTCATCCACATAGTCAGATGAAGTAGCTGACACCTGAAGTAGCCAGACGAAGTAGCTTTTTTGTAAACCTCAGAGCTAATAACCTCTGAAATTTAGGGAAATGGCTATTACCTGGGGCATATATGTGGAGTATACTTAACAAGAGGCAAGAAATGGAGAAACAGATTAGTCATTTGGGTGTAAATATGAATCACTTTGTGGTTTACCATCTTATTACAATGGAGTTCTAAAAGTTCTTCTTGAATGCCACTTGCTTTCATCTTTCATTTCCAGTTKTCATGTTGACTTACACAACATACTTTATATAGAATGTATATTTATGTTCCTCATTTCAGCACCAGAAGCAGATGTTCTGAGATATACTACGTGAAGCAAGCATCCATAAACAAACTCACAGATTCAATAACAATGAGTACGGTGTCATATCCAGCCAGGCTCTCCCAACTTCAATTCAACACAGCACACAAGCTTTCCCTGTACTGTTGCAGGGTGCATCCAAATACAGCACAGATGCTGCATACTATGAGAAGGTATTTCTTCTCAACGCTCTTAAACCAGAATAATGCTGCATTAAAGACAACACAGATGGATCTATCAGCATGCTCTGCAAGTAATCACATCTGTGATCTTTAAGATTAGAAAAAGGCTGGCAAGGTCACCGTCAGAGACAGCATAAATAAATAAATAAATAAATAAATAAATAAATATAATGATGTCCAGCAGGGAAAAGTCAGAAGACTATTAGATCAATTTTTCCGCAGATATTCCTCCACCGAGAGAAGAAGCATCAATAGCGCTGTAAATAACTACCTGAATGCCACCCACAGAACAACCGGAGGCTAGTGTACTTTATTTAAAACCGCTAATGGACTGCAGGAATGTGGCACACCATAAATCTCAAACTAGTAAGTGTTCAACAGCCGTTCAACAGATATTTTTGAGATGTAGAGTGTTTAACAGTCATCAGAGACAGGCCACAAACCTTCAATGATTTTTTTTAAGCAATGATTTCTGATCAATCCTCTTTCAGTAGCTCTAAGCATTCTTTCAACCATGTGTCCACTCCTGCATCTGTTCTCATGATCGAACTGATAGTATTTCTTCTTTCTTCTCATCAGGGCCTGAATATCCTTGGTACATCATTCAGGTCTACACGTGTATTAAGAAGAGACAAGAAAGAAATGCAAAACGCAATGTTATCAGTTCTGTATCTAAGCTGTGTCATTAAATGCCATTTAATTTTTTGTGTAATTTATTTTCAAACTTTCTAAATAACAGGATCAAGTCTAGTTATTATTTACAGGTAGACCACCTACTGCACTAAAAAACAAACAAAAAAATTACTATGTGATTATATGCCAAATGAAAATACATCCCTCCCGCTCTTTCACTCCCTATTATTTCACCCGGTGGTAAGCAGCAGCTTCTTCAAAACCCTAAATTCAGCCAGCTCCAAAAACTGCAGGCAAAGAGAGGACACAAACATTTGCTTGAAAGAGAAAGAAAGCTGCAGGCTCACATCTCACTTACTACTCACAGCAAGTCTTAGCTACTTTTTTGTTGTTCTTCTTAAATACATGGTCCTGTGCAGCCAGTTCTATATAATGTGAAGTATTTAAAAAACAAAAAAATATCCCTGTGACTCTTAAAGGAGTACCTAAATTGCAAAACTGATGTCAGAGCTCCATTTTTCTTACAAGCCTTTCTTGACAGAGTGACTTTCTAGGGCATTTTGTGTGTGTGTGTGTGTGTGTCTGTGTGAGCTCGTGCACAGGGCAGAGGGGAAAATGTTCCTATTGGAGATCACTCATGCAGTGACACACAGTAAATAATACCCAGCACTGCTTGAACCCTAGGAAAGCAGCCTGTTCAACCTGTGAAACCAGTCTCTAAATAAACCTTCCCTCCTTGGCGATGCTGTTTTGACTTATTACTTTCTTCCCCTCCCCCAGGTATTTCTTTTTGACAGCTCAGGCAGGTTCACTTAAAGGAATACTGACATAACAGCAATAAGAATTGACTGAGATATAACTTTGTCAGAAAGACCATCTTCTATTTTAGATTTCACTCTGCCTATGAAGATGGAGCACAGTTTTATTTACTGTTCCTGCTTGGGCACACTTTCGCTCTTCGCCCTCTCCCACACTGCTATTACGGTACCACAACTACAAGCATATTCAGCGAGTTCCGAAAATATATAGTAAATTACTTGGGTTGCTTTAAAAAAGGAAGATACAACACTGGTGCTTTATAACAGCGTGGAATATCAAACCACGGAAGCGTGTGCAGCAAAAACACTGAGAACGCTTCTTTGCTTTATGATTTTTTTTTCCACACAGAAAACTCCCGAATGTTTTTAAGTCTTGCATCAAACACAAGTCTCTTTAAAGCTACAATAARAGCATGCAAGATGGGAGGTGCTGTTCTTAAAGAAAATGAGGTAAATTGTGCGGAATAAACACTCAAAAAGGGGAAGCCCCCGAGGAGCGTGCGCCAAACCGGGGCGCCCCGCCCCCCGCCAACGGCCCGCACTAACGGTCGCCCAACCGCTCGCGGCGGTGGAGGGCGGGGAGCAGGCGGGCGGGCAGGCCGGGCCTACCTTCTGCCGGGCGCTCGTGTCGTACTTGTCGTTGCGGAAGCCGTGCGCGTTCTGGTAGCGCTGCGGCCGCCGCCGTGACACGTTGCCGCGCTGCGAGCTCATCGCCTTCCTCTTCCTCCTCCTGCCCCGCCGCCAGCCCCGGCCCGGAACCGCCAGCGCCGCCGCGCTCCCGCCCCGCGTGCCCATTGGCTCCGTCGGCGCCCGCAGCATCACGCCGCGCGTGCCCATTGGCCGCTCCGCCGCCCGC